AAAAAGCGAAGATAGAGATGGAGGAATTCCAAGTGGAGACAAACGGTAATTATGGAAGGGGTACACTGGATTCGCAGCGGAAAACCAGGTCAGTTAAACCTAAACGAAAGTTTCACCGGGCTAGAACAATCTCGCCCCAAATGCGGTTGGGGCTGGGTGAACACTTTGCTAACAGTGGTAACCACAGGCACGGGTGAGCAAGAGGGGTAGGTCGGGAATAGGGAGAAAATAGTTGCAACAGTGTGATGAAGTTACGTATGACAGTGCCACGCCATCATTGCACTGGCACTTCGATTTTTGGACGGCCACGTAATGGACGTCAAGGTTGTGGCACTCGAACAGAGGATGCACATTCCTGGGGGGGTGAGATGTGGGTTAGGGGAGGGATCGACACAGACATTGTCAGGCTGATGTGGAGTCATATGTATTTTTGATTCAGTTAAAGGACCATGTGGATATGAATCGAGGACCAGACAGATCGGATGGATGACTGTCATACGGGGTTTTTGGAACAGCCACTGGCGAATTTTGAAGCTCGGGTTCGGGGGGGGGTGAAAGTAGTATACGATACCTATGTACATGCCAGTCGCCTCAAGCACACGAAAATGGCAGAGCATGACGTCACAGGCAACCGCTGGTCTGGGAGCCAGTATACGTACTGCCGCTTCATCGATCCGTTTACACACAGGTAAACGGCCTAAACACAAGCACAAACTTATCGCTTTCTATAAAGTCATACTTGACCGGACACCCTATACCAATCAAGTACGTGCATAACTTTTGCCTACGTATCCCAGACGGCCTTCCTAAGAAATCTACTCGAAAAATCTTCTTCAAGCGTTTTCAGTCGGCTTTCATAATGTTTGCAAAACTTCAGAATGTCGCGGTTTGTCGATGATTTCTGAGAACGGGCATGTGACAGCAATGCGATTCTTCGGCTCTAACATCGGCATGCGCACACACCAGCGGAGCCCAGTTGGAGCCGCAAATATATCATATGCATCAGTGGTATCAAACTAACCCTCAAGCACTCGACACAATGGGCCGATAGTTCTGGCGATAGTTGCACGTCTTGAGTAGTATGAGACCTTAGCAGATTCTTCTGCTGAACTGCTGCGAGGGCGTTCTGCGTTTAAACAAAGGATTGCTCATAACGAGCCCCTCGGTTATCCGTTGGTTTGAGACAGTCCGTAGTGAAAAAATTACGGTGGGTGATTGAGATATGGAATTTACACTCTTTTAGATCAAAATGGGCTGAAATGCCGCTGTTTCGTGTATTCTTTGTCACTGATGTAAGCGCTATGCTTTCCAGCCTCATTTGGTTCTTTTCTCTTGGTTGGAAATTGAAGCCCCTATTGCAGATGTGCTGCAGCCGCACGCGATGCAAAAAAGTACTGCCACTTCCTCGCTTCCTGCGTTCACAAATATTAGTGAACCGTCCTTCACATAAGCTATCAACTCATTCTTTTCGCTGTTTTGGATAAATCCATGCAGAACCGGTTTTTCGTCGATACTGTTCGAAGCTGGGTAATTGATCGCTCAGTCGTGACGAAAGACAAGCAGTCTTAGAATTGAAATTGCCACCGGAAGCTAAAAATCAAGAGCACAACAAATTTTGTAATGATTCTCAACAGAAGTTTCCCTGTCCTAGAGTACGCTTTCGGAAAAGTAGTACGTCATATATAAACCGGTCTCCTTTCACCAGAAAAGGGAAAAAGGTCTACATGATGGTTTCTGGGCAGCCGCAGCGAGTGGTCATTTGAGGGACTAACAGACAGAGTGAAAGCCTTGTGAGTCCATGCAAGACACACACCAAAACCACACACATGGATCTTACCACGTGGTGTTATAGGTCGGCTTGAAAAAACTGAAGAATTGTCTGTCAAAACATGCTGAAACGAATCAATCTTTTAAACCCAGTGAATTGTGGTCAACTTGGTAAGCAAATATTGGGACAACCCCATCAAGCCTATCTAAGTGGGTGCTTCTTTCAGCATGATAGTAATCACGATTTTGCAGCGTGCCTAAAAAACACACGTTGTTCAAACATATTCAGTGACTGCGATCTGCGCTTCAAGATTGGACACAGGTCAGTTAGTCAGACAAAAAGTCCATGAAAATTTTTGAGCGCATCAGAACAAACGCTGTCGAGATTGAACATATTAGTCTCCTCGGCTTTCGGTAGATTCTCTCCGGGCGATGTGGACTTGCTGCACCATTCGGAGAAGGTCTTGAGTTTACGATGTGGCGCTTGACAGACATCTCACGCCATGCATCTATTTTTCTTATGAACTTTTGTATTCGGAGAAAAGCGAAAACCGACATGGGCCTCAACGAGCACTCTCTTGTGAAGTGTCATATGGGACAAGGATCCTCGAAATACGCGGCAGTCCACACAGGTCCTTCTAAAAGTGCCAGACTTGAAACTGCTATTGCTTTTTAGCTATACCAGGAGCCTCCATGAAAATCTTGCTGTCAGACCCTTACCCTTGAACCTGAATCGAGGAGTTATGATGTTACGGACAAAGGCGTTTCGAGAACGGAAGTACGTACCGTAATAGGCCAGTCAGAAGATTAGTGCTTATTGATCAATGTTCCTCCGTGAAACTGAATGTATTTAAGTGGCAGTTTAAAGACAGCTTACACCCTAGACGATCCCTTGTCCTTAATCCAGCAAAATAATCGTATCGCGCCCAACACAAACAATATCGGCATTCAAGCATTTTGTCCGACGTATCAGAACCTCACAAAGCTTTCATTACTTTCTAAAGTTTATAGGATAATCTAATATTGGTGCAGTATTTTTCGATCTCCACTGGATCGTCACAAAACATTTCAGTGGCAAAAAACCATATAGATTTTGTTTCGCGCGCGGCTTTTCAATTTTAGTTTTCTCAGCGAACAGGGATATTCCGGACGCGTATTTTATCAGTTTATTCATATGAAGATGTCCCTCATGTATTCATATCTCGTGACCAAATGAATGCAAACCTGGTTTTTGTTTGAGAGTGCGCGATCAGTTTTGGCGGGCTTTGCTGTGGACCCTCACGTCTGCGCTTATTCAGGATGACGGAGCAGATGAGCTTGCGCGGTACCCTGACGGGTCATCGCGGTTGGGTCACTCAAATTGCAACCACTCCATCACAGCCCGACCTTCTTCTGTCCTCTTCAAGAGGTGGGTCTTTACTGTTTGCATATTCTTTCGATAGACAAAACCTTGATTGTTTGGGACCTCCGCCGACAAGATGGGGAATTCGGAATAGCCCAACGAGCTCTTCATGGCCACAATCACTTCGTTAGTGATATTGTGATGTCGTCCGATGGCCAGTTCGCTCTCTCTGGTTCATGGGACTCTACGCTCCGACTTTGGGACTTACATACTGGACAGACTACTCGGAGGTTTTCCAGTCATACAGGGGATGTTCTGAGTGTGGCATTCAGCGCTGATAACCGACAGATCGTCAGTGGTTCACGCGACAAAACCGCTAAACTTTGGAATACACTGGGCCATTGTAAATATACTTTTGAAGACGGTGGTCACACTGATTGGGTGTCCTGTGTGCGTTTCTCACCGAACACAGATAACCCCATCGTTGTCACGTGTGGCTGGGATAAACGCGTAAAGGTGAGCACGCTTTTGATTCTTACGCATGTTTTAAGGTCTGGAGTTTGACCAACTGCAGTCTGCGGACAACTCACACAGGTCACACGGGTTACCTGAACACAGTCACCGTATCACCTGACGGCTCCCTATGTGGAAGTGGTGGGAAGGACGGACAAGCGATGTTGTGGGATTTGAATGCTAACAAATATCTGTACACGTTGAACGCTGGTGGTGTGATTAATTCGCTGTGCTTCTCGCCGAATCGCTACTGGCTCTGTGCTGCAGTAGGACCCAGCATCAAGATATGGGATTTGGAAAACAAGGTTCTGTCCGAGGAGCTAAAGCCTGAACTTGTGTCACCAACATCCAGCGGTAAACCACTAAATCCTGATTGCACATGTCTTGCGTGGTCGGCGGACGGACAAACCCTGTTTGCCGGGTACACAGACAATGTCATTCGCGTATGGCAGTTGACACATGCTGGGTACTAATTTTTTTGAATAAAACTTGAATGGACTTGCAGTTGCTGTGAGTCTCAGCAGCGAGAATAATTTTTATTCGGTTGGTTGGGCTGAAAATGTAAGTTTCAGCTTCATTCCAGGCGCAATCCTTCGCTGGTGTAGGCATTGGTTGATTCCAATCATGCTTGCTTTCAGCAGTTGGCATCTGTAGAATTTTTTGGCTAGCACACTCAATGGTCGCTTGGAATGCTCATTTTTATCGTTGGTGCTCTGAGATGTTGACCGAGTACGGTGTCTCAGATAGCTGCTGCTGATGCTGGAAATGAGTGAGCGACTGTCGTGCCTAGAATATCAAACCTGGAAATAAAATGTCTGGTGCATATTATCTTAGAGGTCCACTCGGCGTTTTCAACTCGTCCAAAATCAATCCAACATTTTCCGTAGAGCCGCGACGCACACGGTCTCCAGGATTGATTAGGACATGCTACTGACTGAATCGCCTGCATCAATCGATATCCTGCCGTTGCGGTTTCAGTAAGGATCCTACACTTGTTCAAGAAGTTGAGCTTATGTTTGTTTCCTAACCCCCAGAAGCTGTTCAGCGGCGCCTCAGCTCCACCGATCCGATGTACCAGTTAAATTCGGGCTTCAGCAACCAGGGTGTCGGCTAGATAGCAAACCACTCATCGGCCCTATGTTTCATTGGCATGCGCTTCGCACCTTTAAAGTGCAAAGCCATGCTTCAGAACGTGCCGTCTGCTAACGCTTCCATTACAATTCAAGGAAAACTACTGGAGATTGTGGAAAACTTAACGTAACTCGGTAGTTGTATTAGCTCTGACGGAAGTGTGTCTGATGAAGTCAGTGCAAGAATCTCCAAGGCTCGAATCACGTTTGCTAATTTGCGCCAACTGTGGCGTCAAAAAGGCATCTCACTGGATCATGAGGGTCGTGTGTACCAGGCTACAGTAAGGGCTGTGTTATTGTATGGGTGCGAGACATGGCCTCTTCGGGTAGATGATGTGAGGCGTCTTCAGGTTTTCGACCACCGATGCCTCAGAAGCGTGGCTGGT